TTTATGTTTTCATTAATGTTCTCGTGAATTTGTTGTACTGTTTTATTATTTTTAGGATTGTATTGGAGCTATTGATGGTACCCATATTCCAACAATGGTAACTGGACGTGATGCAAGTAGTTACAGAAATTGTCATGGAACAATTTCTTAGAATGTTTTGGCCGCATGTAACTTTGATTTGGAATTTATATACGTGATTAGTGGGTGGGAGGGACTAGCACATGATTCTAAAGTGTTGAGTGATGCTTTAACAATGAGAAATGGACTTAAATTACTTGTTAACTTTACAAGTATTTTATATTCAGGTAAATATTTTTTGGGAGACTGTGGATTTCCAAATCGACGTCAGTTTTTAACTCCTTTTCGAGGTGTCCGTTATCATCTTCAAGATTTTGCTGGTCAAGGTCATGACCCTGAAAATACAAAAGAGTTGTTTAATCTTCGTCATGCTTCCTTGAGGAACGTAGTTGAGAGGATATTTGGTATATTTAAATCAAGATTTACAATTTTCAAAACAGCTCCTCCATTTCCATATCGTACACAAGCCGAACTCATATAACTTGTGTAGGATTACACAATTTTCTCCGGAAAGAATGTCGGTCAGATGAATTTCCAGTCGAACCCGATAACGAAGATTCTTCATCTTTTTCGATTAATGAGGGGAAAGATTTTGGACCATTTTTTGAGGGGAAAGAATAAGAAAGAGAGAATGCTAATGCATGGAGGGCTGCTCTTACAGCGAACATGTGGAATGCTGTTAGAAATTTTTGATTTTTTATTTTTTTTTAATGATCATTACTGAAATACTATTTTTTTAATATTTTTATTATTTGTTAATCTACTTGATATAAGATGAAAACGTACTTTATGTTTGGTGAAATATTTGTTTTTTTTATTTGGAAAAAAATTGACATGAAAAATACGAATTATTACTTTACATTTTCAATTATATGAGTTGTGGACGATTTGAATATATAAGAAGTTGCTAAACATATTACATTATATATGTTTAATTTATTCTTTTAAAAAATATAAAAAGTCTTCAAAATTTTGCAAACTATTTTTTTTAATATTTTTATTATTTATTTGATAGAAGTTGAAAACGTACTTTATGTTTGGCGAAATATTTATTTTTTTTATTTGGAAAAAAATTGACATGAAAAATACGAATTATTACTTTACATTTTCAATTATATGAGTTGTGGACGATTTGAATATATAAGAAGTTGCTAAACATATTACATTATATATGTTTAATATATTCTTTTAAAAAATATAAAAAGTCTTCAAAATTCTTCAAACTATTTTTTTAATATTTTTATTATTTGTTAATCTACTTGATATAAGATGAAAAAGCACTTTATGTTTGGCGAAATATTTGTTTTTTTTTTGTTTGGAAAAAAATTGACATGAAAAATACGATTTATTACTTTGCATTTTCAATTATATGAGTTGTGGACGATTTGAATATATAAGAAGTTGTTAAACATATTACATTATATATGTTTAATACATTCTTTTAAAAAATATAAAAAGTCTTCAAAATTCTTCAAACTCTTTAAAAGTCTCTAATAAAAGTCTCCACAAATTCAGAAAAAACTTTTATTAATTCTTACCAAATCCATAGAAATCACTTGAAATTCCACAAAGTCCCCAAAAGTCACCCACTTTAAAAAGTCTCAATTGAATATACCCCCTAAAGTGCTACCTTTGTAAAGTTACTTGACTTTTGTTTTGTTGTATGCATTTCCCTTAATCACCCTATCCCCTATTTATAGTGGTAATTTAGAATTAAATTAACAATTAATTTATTTTTCCATAATCATTATTTTGCCACACTTTACCTTATCATGTCATTTGGCTTTGTAGTGTTTAAGGTGGCAAAATGATAAGTGTAGGGTAGCTACCTTATCTTAACCCTACCATACCATGTGTCATCTTAATGTCTAGAGTGGCAAGGTAATTAATGAAAGGTAGCCATTTTATTTCCTCAATTCTACCACATGGTTTTTAAACCAAAATTTTAATTCAATTCTTTTCATAAGGTCATAATATAATTAACAAACTTTTATTATGTTACGTAAAATGTACAATGCATTATAAACTTACTAAAAAATATATATATACATCACAACACAAAACTTACTAAAGTCTTGGGATGTCACACCACCTCATCCATTAGTGTTGAAAATAAATTGTCCAATAATGCTCTTGAGAAATCTAGATCCTTCAAGTGGGCTCTACAATGGGAGTATGATGGTTTGTCGTCAATTCAGTACACACGATATACATGCAGAGATAACTACTAGATAGTACTCTGGCAAACATGTATTCATTCCGTGTATACCATTAAGTCCTGCAAACGATAAAGGATATCCATTCAAATTCATACGGAAACAATTTCCTGCACGCCTATGTTTTGCAATGACAATCAACAAGGCCCAAGGACAGACAATACCTCGCGTAGGAATATATCTTCCACAACATGTATTCTCACATGGACAGTTATACATTGCACTTTCAAGAGGAATTTCTATGACAACTACAAAGATTTTAGTTAAGTCGGATATCCCTAATCATACAAAAAATTTAGTGTACAAAGAGATTCTCATTGAATAAAAATTTCATTTCACATCAGCAATTCTCCGCAACTATCTTCCAAATTCACATTAATTAATAATGGATCATAGATCGAGAAAAACAATTCAATCCCCACGCACAAATCAATGATCTAGTCAACAGGATTTTCAAAGGACAAAACTATATAGTAATAAATTAAATATATAGAATACATCACTTAAAGGCAATTATAAAAACTAGGATTAATAAATAATCATATCAACAAATGTTTGCAACGATGCATAAATACATATTGAGGGGTGTCACAAGGTGGAATGAGTATTCCTAATTCAAACACTAATTCTGTGATTCACGATATCATTGTTGAAGAAGTCACATTTTTTTGGAGCAAGAGTCAACGATTATAAACAATTGTAGGTTTTCTTTAAAAAAGGAAATAAATAATTTTTTATTTTTTACTTAATTTTTTTTTTGGGGCACCCTAAAGAGTTGGTCTTGAGGTAGCGGCCTCTTGTACCTCTTCTCAAGTTCGGCTATGGCCATTTGTCACGACTTTTGAAAAATCAAAATGAGCTTTTAAAATTTGAAAGTTGATTTTGAATTCGTTTGACTAATTTTATGCAAGTATTTTTTTCTAATTATAAGAATTTCAGAGGAAATTCTTTTAAATATTAGTTTTCAAATAAAAATAATGGAAATTTCCTTCAAAAACTCTTCTACAAAAAACAAAATCAAAAGTTATGTCAAGCAAATCCTTAAACTTCTTTTTAGAAGTTATGCTCCAACAAATTTAATTTTAAAATTTAAGACATTGAAATTATATTATTGTGTAGATGTAAAAGATAATAATTTCTGAATTTAATCTTATGTTCATTAATTCAATTTCTTATATGCAGAATAAAACAAGTTCATCATATTTGGGAATATATACTGATTTAAAAACAATTAAATATAATCAATATAAACAATGAAAAATAAATTACCATTGAGTTGGGCTCGAATAATTTCGTCGACTCGTGCAATACATCCATCACCTCTCCATCAATTATTATCTTCAAAAAATGGACGTCGCATTTCAAGGACAGCTTCTCACATCTAATATTCAGTCCTACACCAAAATTTACATCATTTTGCATCAAATTAATATTCATCTCCAATCATTATACCAAAACTTACACCAAATGAATAGCGTTTTATTATTTTATTCATTCTTTCGATTTTTGACAATGTATTTATTTAAAAAAATTTATTTATTTTATAACTATATAAATTACTAAATCATAATTATGTTAAATTAACAAGTATACTGAATTATTATTGATTACTAAATTATTCACATATTTTATATATTATGTTAAATTGATGGAAATAATTGATTATATTATTAATTTATTATAAACAATTACGTTAAATTTACGAAAATAATTACTAAATTATAAAAACCTTGATTATAATTGATTATATTATTAAAAATAATAAACTTTAATAATATAAGTAATTAATTATTATTATTATTATAGAACGAAAGTGATAAATACCCCTAATCGTTATCTTTGAAAAATGAAAGAGAAAGGCCAAATGGACATTGCACCATTTGGTGGAAAAAAATGGTGCAATGAAATGTTGCACCATTTTGCACTGTTGGAGATGGTGTAAAAGGGATTCCATTCGAGATGGTCTAAACAAGTATAGTGATTTAAGTTTTTTTATTACTTACGAAAAAGGAAAAAAAATGAAAGAAAAGTTTACTTGTACATAATTTTTGTACATAAGGATGTTCATATCTCTCACATAGGACGGGGTCGCCCCTCAGCAGTAAAGCCAAAAATGAATCTTCTTTCAGTAAAAAATAGTTTTTCTTTATTAATCTAAATTTAGATAAAAATAAATAAATAAATAAAAATAAAAAGGAAAGAAAGCAAGTAAAAAGAAATCGAAGTACCAGGTTTATGAAGAGCGAGGAGTTTGACTGGAAGGAATATGAAGAGGACGAGCGATACAGAGCACATCAGTAAAAATGAGACAGATCACAGTTGCGAATGCGCCCCTTTCCTCCTCCTCCCCTATCTTCTTCCCAACTTTCTTCGCTAATCTGCGTCGTCCAACTCCATTTTGCTTCAAGGTTGGAGATGGTGTAAAAGGGAGTCCATTCGAGATGGCCTAAACAAGTATAGTGATTTAAGTTTTTTTATTACTTACGAAAAAGGAAAAAAAATGAAAGAAAAGTTTACTTGTACATAATTTTTGTACATAAAGATGTTCATATCTCTCACATGAGATGGGGTCACCCCTCAGTAGTAAAGCCAAAAATGAATCTTATTTCAGTAAAAAATAGTTTTTCTTTATTAATCTAAATTTAGATAAAAAATAAATAAATAAATAAATAAATAAAAAGGAAAGAAAGCAAGTAAAAAGAAATCGAAGTACCAGGTTTATGAAGAGCGAGGAGTTTGACTGGAAGGAATATGAAGAGGACGAGCAATACAAAGCACATCAGTAAAAATGAGACAGATCACAGTTGGGAATGCGCCCCTTTCCTCCTCCTCCCCTATCTTCTTCCCAACTTTCTTCGCTAATCTGCGTCGTCCAACTCCATTTTGCTTCAAGTTCCGAGTCAGGTTTCTGTTCTCGCCACCTTCTATTATATAGTTGAGAGTTGTATGGTACTAAAACATATGATCTTTTTGGTCTTTCTTGTTTGTTGAAGTGCTATCTTGATAAGAAAAATTCCAGTCTTTAGCAGTAACTAAGGAGATATGAATGCTCGTGTGTTTTCTGCCACCCTGTGATTCTCTTTTTGGTATTTAGTACAACGCAGACACCAGGTGTGTTTGTATATTGTGAATCACATGATAATTGATTATTGAATTTGAGTCTTTATGTCTGTTAGAAGGTCCAATCTTTTATTAGTAAAAACATACACGCATGTGTTTGCAACATTGCTTCAATGAAGATGTTTGATCTGTAGTTTTTGTCTCTGGCTTATCTTGGGCTGTCTTGATAAGAAAAATTCCTGTCTTTAGCAGTAACTAAGGAGATATGAATGCTTGTGTGTTTTCTGCCACCCTGTGATTCTCTTTTTGGTATTTAGTACAACGCAGACACCAGGTGTGTTTGTATATTGTGAATCACATGATAATTGATTATTGAATTTGAGTCTTTATGTCTGTTAGAAGGTCCAATCTTTTATTATTAAAAACATACACGCATGTGTTTGCAACATTGCTTCAATGAAGATGTTTGATCTGTAGTTTTTGTCTCTGGCTTATCTTGGGCTCTTTCAGTTCAGGGTAATGCTTAATAGTGATGTTTGAAAATCAAATAGGAGTGAAAAATTTCTGAAGTTTGGGTTTTTGTTGTGTCCATTTTTATTGCTGAATTATTGGACTTGGTGCCAACAGGCTTGCTTGATCGAAGAATATTTGCGCATGGAGTTGAAAGCTTGATTACTTTTTGACCGTTTATGGGATGCTAACCACTTTCACAATTTTAATAAGCATGATACGTGAATCAAAATATAACAATTTGTGTGCTTAAGAAAAGGAAAAATACTATTGAACTCCGTGAACGCAATTCATAACGTAATTATATTTTTGGCTGCTTTTTGGGAAGCAGGGCAATGACATCTCATATCGTCGGGTATCCTCGTATAGGGCCCAAGAGAGAACTCAAGTTTGCATTGGAATCTTTTTGGGATGGGAAAAGTAGTGCTGAGGAGTTGCAGAAGGTGGCATCTGACCTCAGGTTGTCCATTTGCAAGCAGATGGCGGATGCTGGCATCAAATATATTCCTAGCAATACATTCTCATACTATGACCATGTATTGGACACTACTGCTATGTTAGGTGCAATTCCTTCTAGATATAGTTGGAGTGGAGGTGAGATAGGATTCGACGTTTACTTTTCAATGGCTAGGGGAAATTCCACTGTTCCTGCAATGGAAATGACAAAATGGTTCGACACCAACTAGTAAGTGGTGATTAAATATCCTATTAGTTTCTATTTGTTGTTTCCATGATTCATGCTGAACTACAACACGTTTCAATAAATTTAGTCATTACATTGTTCCGGAGTTGGGGCCTGATACTGAATTCTCTTATGCATCTCACAAGGTGGTGCAAGAATTCAAGGAGGCTAAATCTGTAAGTTTACTTTCGCTTTTTTTGAATAGTTTTGTTTCATTGCCTTATCTTTCCAGAAAATTAATTCTAGATTAGATTTTCTTAATAGAAATGTTTTGAACCTTGGTTGTCTTGTTATTAATTCCTGAAGGATCCTCCCATGTGGCAGTAGAAACCAAAGAGGACATATCTTACACTGTTGAAAGATGAAATTTTGTAGGATTATATGTTCTTCACATTGATAGGTTTGTTCATGAGCACTATATTAGACTGGAGGAGATGTGCAATTTGTAGGATGATCTCAACATTTGTTTTCCAATTGTCACCCAATTCAATGTAACTGAAAATTTTGTCATGTCAAGGAAAAGTGTAATGGGTTCTCAGATGACTGGTAGATTCAATCACTTCACAGCCATTATAGACTGTCTTGAAGCCATTCTATCGTTATCAATGGATTACTTTGAGTTAATGTCTGAACTCACCCTGTTTCAATACATTCAAGTGCTTTATGGCTTTTCTTCTGGAAGACCATTCCTACTTATGTAAATGTCCTTAGATGTTGTAAATTGGCTCAAGGTTCTTATACAGTTAGAAAAAACAGAAAAACAGAGTTAGGGGTTTCATCTTTGCTAAAACTACTTGTAGATTTGGAATATCTTATCCCTTGATATCTACTTTGTCTATTGTACTTTTTTGTTGGTGATACCAGTTTCTATAATTTGTCCCCTAGGTTATAGAATATATATCTCTGTAAGTTTTCTTTATCTAAAGTTCATGTAATGTTAACATTAAAATTGGAATCTCTATGACTCAATAATATTCTGGTATTTTTGTCAATGCAGATAGGCGTCGATACTGTTCCAGTCCTTGTGGGGCCTGTTTCTTATCTATTGTTATCAAAACCGGCAAAAGGTGTGAAGAAATCGTTTTCTCTTCTTTCCCTGATTGATAAAATTCTTCCTATCTACAAGTAAGTTCACAATATACTCTTTATGTGGATTCTTTAAATTTATAGTTCGTGTTGTCTAAATCATTTTGTGACTTCTACCATTTGCTAAGGGAAGTTGTTGCTGAATTAAAGGCAGCCGGTGCTAACTGGATTCAGTTTGATGAGCCTACCCTTGTGATGGATCTTGATTCTCAGAGATTGCATGAATTTACTCATGCCTATTCAGAGCTCGAGTCGTCCTTGTTTGGTTTGAATATTCTCGTCGAGACATATTTTGCCGATCTCCCTTCTGAGACTTACAAAACAGTAACTGCTTTGAAGGGTGTTACTGCTATTGGGTTTGATTTAGTCCGTGGATCAAAGACTCTTGACCTAATTAGGGGTGGGTGTCCATTGGAAAAATATCTTTTTGCTGGAGTTATTGATGGAAGAAACATTTGGGCTAACAACCTAGCCGCTTCTCTTAATACCTTGCAGGCTTTAGAGGGTATAGTTGGAAAAGGTAATTCTCCAATTTTTATTGTACTTAAAGTCTGAAATTTTCTTAAATGCATAAGGTCACTAGCACTTTTTTGAAAATTTAATGCATACTGCATGTGATTTAAAACTGCATCTTGCCCAGTCATCCAGCCTGCTGCTGGACGTGAAACGTGCTATAATGTTTCATTGTGAAAATTATATTCATGATTGACATAAGGAAGAGAGGAAAATGTAATGGAAAGATCAAAATTTAAGATAAATGGAGAAGGCCATACAAGCAGTTAGTTCTCTTAACTAATCTTTGAAGCAGTATTAAGAAGAATTCACCACTAGCCAGACCAAGGACAGCTTTGATTTCGAGACCTGTGACTAATCACCCCAACAATTAAATATACACTATTTCAGTTTCTTTGTCTGTATTAATTTGCATAATATTCTTTCCCTATTGTGTTAGATTGGTGAGCATTAAAATTAATTTGAGCTTTGATTAACACCTTTGTCATTTCTTTCTTCAGACAAGCTTGTAGTCTCGACATCTTGTTCTCTTCTTCATACTGCAGTTGACATGGTCAATGAAAACAAGTTGGACAAAGAACTCAAGTCATGGCTTGCATTTGCTGCACAGAAGCTACTTGAAGTCAATGCATTGGCAAAAGCAGTTTCTGGTCAGAAAGATGAGGTACTTCATTAGTTTTCTAGTTCTCTTTTTCTTTCATATTGGATTGCTTGTAATCTAGGTATTGCTACAGTTCAAATGCACATTGCATTATAATACATTAGTAAGAATCCATTGTTTGAATTCATGTTTGCGGTTTCTCCTTTCTGTATATTTAAAGTTTTGACCTTATATTAAATGGTTAAGGTTGAAATACATTACCTCCAAAAGTTAGCTCTACTTTAAAGTGTGGAAAATTTGATGTTTTATGCTAGCATCTTGAGATAAATGTTTCAGGTGAGAGATATCAGTTCGCGGGATCTGTTTCCATTGTTATTTAGACTTGTTTCATAGTTCACTAGATTGATGAGGTTTTTTTTGAGCAAGGAAATACTAATTGCTTTTCATTTCCATACTGAACATTGCTTTTTACATTATTACTGGAAGTCATTTACTCTCCCTTTTGCCCTGGCTTTTATCTCCTCAGGCATTCTTCTCTGCTAATGAAGCAGCTCAGGCTTCAAGAAAATCCTCTCCAAGAGTGACAAATAAAGCTGTTCAGAAGGCTGTAAGTCTCTTATTCACGACTTACCATTTCCACACTTTCTTGATCTGCCATGTCTTTGTTTTTCTAATGATGACATTGATTTTTGTCATTCTATTCAGGCTTCTGCCTTGAAGGGTTCTGACCATCGTAGAGCCATGAACGTGAGAAACAGGTTGGAAGCTCAGCAGAAAAAGCTAACTCTTCCCATTCTTCCGACCACTACTATTGGATCTTTCCCTCAAACATTGGAGCTTAGGAAATTACGTCGTGAGTACAAGGCTAACAAGTTAGTTTCTTCCGTTTTAGTTCTGTTTTATTATTTCAATTTCCTCGGGACTTCAATTAAGCGTTTCTTCTGATATTCTTCTAGGATGTCTGAAGAAGAATATGTCAACGCCATTAAGGAGGAAATAAGTAAAATAGTCAAACTTCAAGAAGAGCTTGATATTGATGTTTTGGTTCATGGAGAACCAGAGGTGTGATAATAGTACTATTATTGTACAAAAGACAATAAGAAAACGTAATCACAAACATCTAATAGTTTTTACTAAAAATATGCAATTACAGAGAAACGACATGGTGGAGTACTTTGGAGAGCAGTTGTCTGGTTTTGCTTTCACTTTGAATGGATGGGTTCAGTCGTATGGATCTAGGTGTGTCAAGCCACCTATAATCTACGGTGATGTTAGCCGCCCAAAAGCAATGACAGTCTTCTGGTCAACATTAGCTCAGAGCCTGACAAAGCGTCCAATGAAGGGAATGCTTACTGGACCTGTTACCATTCTGAATTGGTCATTTGTCAGAAACGACCAACCCAGGTTTCCAAATCATATTCATTCTGCTCTACGTCTTTTTTCAAGATTTTTGGCAATTTTAATGTGACTCTTTCTCCCCCTTAGACTTGAGACCAGCTATCAGATTGCTTTGGCCATCAAGGATGAGGTTGAAGATCTGGAGAGAGCTGGAATTAGTATTATTCAAATTGACGAGGCGGCTTTAAGAGAAGGTTTGCCTCTTAGAAAGTCCGAGCAAGCATTTTACTTGAACTGGGCTGTACACTCCTTCCGGATAACTAATTGTAGAGTTCAAGACACCACCCAGGTCTGTATTCATTCTGGTCTTCCAAACTAGGTGAAAAAACTACTTTTATTCTCACTTTTCTCAACTCTTCTTCGAGCAGTTGCCTAGGTTAGTGATGATTGTCGGCTATAGAGGGTAGTTGTGGGACATAGCCTATGAAAATCTTCGACATCATTTTCCAGGTTCGCTTGGAAAAGTAGTACATATCATACAATCCCTTTGCATTGTCTGCACGGTTTACTTTTATTCACATGTACGAAAATGTTGACGAAGTATACAGTTTTCTGCCATGAATACAAGCGTTACAAATTAAATCGGAATCTCTCTTCACACGCAATAACTTTGGTACGATTCTTAACATCGTTTTTATTAATGTTTTGGGCAGATCCACACCCATATGTGCTACTCAAACTTCAATGACATTATCCACTCAATCATGGACATGGATGCTGATGTAGTCACTATCGAGAACTCTAGGTCAGACGAGAAGCTTCTTTCAGTTTTCCATGAGGGAATGAAGTACGGTGCAGGCATTGGTCCTGGTGTATACGACATCCATTCACCAAGAATCCCATCGACTCATGAAATTTCTGATCGCATCAACAAGATGCTTGGAGTACTTGAGAGCCGTATCCTGTGGGTCAATCCTGACTGCGGCCTTAAGACTCGCAAATATTCAGAAGTCAAGCCTGCACTGACCAACATGGTTGCCGCTGCGAAGCTCATCCGAGCTCAATTGGCCATTTCCGAGTGAGTTCTGCTAATGGGTCGAAAACCTTGTGCATGTGTAAAATAGTAGGATGGTCATTTTAATCAGGGAATTGGTGGGCTCTTTGTCAATGTAGTTAACATATCTTTTGTTCGGTTTACATTGTTAAACTCCCATGAAGACTGGAATTTTGTTTGGAAACGCTCTGATGCTTAAGGTCATGAGGTTAATAATTTCATAAAGAAGAGTAAATGGAGTTTTTTAAAGTATTCAAGAGTTTTACGTAACTTGATGCAACATCCTGACCTTTATTCCATATCTGTCCTTGAATTTCTAAATACTATTAGAATATGATATAGATTAATGCTGGCTGTACGGGCCAACTTTCATAGGGTCTGTACAGGCCAGCATTAATGCTTGGGGGGGGGGGCAGGGGATTATGTGTGGTCTGTTTTCATAGGACCTGTATGGCCAGCATGTCTATATGATATATTTGATGACGATATTTTTTTACTGTAAACAAAATACCAAATATAGTTTTTAGTAAATCGTTATGTAAAATATAGCTCTTGTTCGGTAGGAAATAAAATTTAGATTTTAATTTTTAGTCAAGTCAAAAATTAACTTTAATAACATATTTCATACAATTCACAATTTTTTAATTAATTTTTATTAAAATATATTAAAAATATGATTTTAATTGTCACCAAATAAAGTCATAGTATGTGAGATGTAAATTTATAAAATATTTTGTATAAAGTGTAATTACATGGGGTGTTTTGTAAATTTTTCTTGGATTAATTTGAGAGAGAACGTAACAAGCTTGAAACAAATATACAAATAACAAAATGAAATTTAACGAATATAGAAAGTGCGTTTGTTTCTAATGCGATTCCAGTTCAAATGGCATCAAATCAATAGAAAGCGCACTAAAGGCATTTCGCTTTTGTTTTTCCCTCTCTCCATTTTTAACCTCTCCCAGTTCTGCACACCTCCGGAGTATTTGCCCCACCTTAACCCGGCCGGTGTAACCACCACGCATGGCGGTGGAATCGCCGACTGACGTCATGGCGTCTCTGATGGAGCAGTTGAAGCTCGATGACCCATGGATACCGCCTAGATCGTGGGACTCCGTTCCTTCTCAAACTGGCGCGTCCTCTCACTCTCACTCTTCTCAATTTCTGTACCCCGCTTCCACTGTCTCTGTAAGAACCCTCCCCCTACCTCTCTTTCTCTCTATCCATATATAAATGCGCGTTGTACTATGATTTGTATCAATCGGAATTTTCGTTCCATACTAGTTGAACAATGCATAATTATGATTGCTTAAGTAATGTGGGGCTGTGTGATATGGTTTTTTTTTTTTTTTTTGTACGCCAGAGATTGTACAACGCGTCAGGAGTGCAGTACCATGAGATAATTTATTAGTGGAAAACATGATCTGGTTTTTGTATATGGTTAATTGATTGATACGGGTATTTACTACAACCAAAAAAATGAAAATTTTAATAAATCAGTTTGTTTTTTGTTCATTTAATAATTTGTATCTTTTGTGGATCTTTTACTTATCATGTTTTGATTGGCAAACTTATCGCTGGTCTAAACTTGAGTTCTGAAACTTAGTATATATGTCTTAATAAAATTAATATCTCCTTTCTTTCTCCCTGTTCTTTTGATGGAAACCCATTTGGCTAATTGAATTCAGGGGAAAGGGTGAACGTGGGCCATATATAGGACCATGAGGATTAATAGCTTATGGTTTTTGTGAATGAGAACACAAATTTAAGGGGTAAGGTTGGGGAGACCACAAAAAATGATCGAGCATACACATACAACTCTTGCTATAAAGATCATATGCCTATATGATATATTATAGACCTTCTCACTTAACTTATCCATTCAATTGGACAGTGGGGGGTGGGTTTCTATTACACAATGAATCTCTGTAATAAGTCTTATTGATTTGAAAAAATAAGCTTGGCAGTGTATTAAAGTATTGAATTTGAACCAAAAGCAATCTGAATGAAGCAATCTATTGATTTAGGATATATTCTTACTTGTAGGTACAAAACACCTAGGAGATAGAGGGAGGATTAGTGGGAGATGAGCGACATCAGCAACAAGTATTACCCAAGACTTGTATGCTGAGGTATTGTTTTCATCATACGCAATGATTTCATTTCGTAGGTTCAAGTTTCCAACCGTTAAGATGTTCATATTAGACATTCTCTATATAATGTGATTAAGTACAATGCAGAAAATATAAGAGCTTGGTATATCTGCATTAAAATTATGCCCCAAATATCCCCTCTGCGCATATGCTGCTGTACAATTTTTCTCTTTTCGTACAATCCTTCTATCTTTCTATTCATCCTTTTGCCTTCTTTTATTGCACTGTCATTTTACCTTTGTCTTTCTTTTATTTAATAGACCTCCTGTACAATTTTTTTTATAGCCACAGAAAAATTTTTTAGCTAATATTTCTTATCAATCTCTTTCTGATGGCTGCAGGAGCCCAGTTTGGTGAGATTGGTGATGAATGCTCTACAGGGTGTAGAATCTGCTTTAATATCTATTGATAAACTCTCTGCAGTATTTTGTTACAATTCAGCAGATAGAACTTCTCATCAAATTCCAAGTTTATGGACCCGGTGTTTGAGTACTTCTGCTTTAGGAGATCTACTTAAATCTATTGGCAAGTTTGGTTGCATTGTTTTCCTCCTCCATAAGTTTGTCAGTTACTTCACGAGTCCGGATATTGATGGAATAGTAGACAAGGAGGAATATCGAAATAATGATTCCTCTGAAGAGTTGAGAGGACCACCACCTAAGCGCACCCTTAGCAACCAAGCATTTGCAGTTGCTGTGGGGAAGGTCGTAGATGGCTATATCTCTGCACTTAATACATTATCTGCATCTGTGAGTTTAAGGCGTTCCTCGAAGAGTAATCTTGGAGGCTGTCTTACTAATATTGGGCATTCAGAAGTTACGGTCTTGGAGGTATATCTTCACACGACTGGCTTGAGGACTCAGATGGAATCCCTTGGAAACATCTGCAATATCAATAATCTTGCCCTTAACTTTCCAGCCTTGTCTTTCGAAGACCTAAACAGCGAAGCAAATCTAGAGTTCAGTATCTTCCCCAGAGGCGGTGCTCTGCTCTCATATTTGTATGCTCAGCTAAAGGTCCACTCGTCTTTGGTTGAATATTGTATTTTGTAATTTTTTTTCGTATGTCATGCTTTCATTTTGCTAGTTTTCATTCCAAGGCAGCCCTTCACATGTTTATCATTTGTTCTCTCTGTCATGTCTTCCAAACATCAAGTTCATTTTGTCAACTAGCAACATATTGGTCAGTAGTCCAAAAAATTAATAAAACCGGAAAATCTTCATGGACTTCTAGTTGTATTCCCATAACATGAATTTATGATTGATTTGATACTTATACTTTCATCTCTGCTTCTTTGAAAATAGAAAACTGTTATGATGAAGTATCCACAAGAAGAGCTATGTGATGCTGTTTCTCAAATTAGGCCACTCAATGGATTCATGGCCGGTCCTGAAAATTTTTAAGCCTTAGGCGATAAATTATCACAAGGCCTCTATACATAATTTTTTTTACAAGCATATTGGCATAAAAAATGTCTGAATAAAACAGTTTCTCATGATAAGAAATATTGTACGTTTGGTATTCACTCATCATTTGATTTGTACGAGAATCAATTTTCGTTTTCAAGGAATACAATATAAAACTTTTTTGAAAATCAGTTAGGTATGGGGATGGTGCCTACTATTTATTATAAAAAATATCTTATAATTAAAAATAAAAATTCAAAAGCAGCAATAAATTGAAAGACATTATTGGTAGGGAGGCCCCTACTTTATTTGCACTATCATGAAATATCTAATGTAAGAAAATTGAGGAAATTTCATAATAATTATTTTTTGAGCTTTCAAAAATTTTTTGAGGCCCCATTATACCGAGGCCCAAGGCCACTGCCTTGGTGGCCTTGGGCCAGAACCGGCCTTGCTTTATTGCAGCAAGTAGTGTTAAGCTTATTGTCCCCTTGCATTTTGTGGAAGCTATGATTTTAGTTTTATGAAGTGAATAAAATGATAGATTAGATAAAAATGCATGTATTTATTAGCATGCATGCAAAGGTTAAATAAATAATTCTGTTTTACTGATGAATTTAAAATTTTTATTAATAAAGGTTTTGCTTGTCTTTTTCAGGTTGCTGATCCAGATCATTGTGCCCTCCTCAAGTTCCTCTTTCTCCAGGCATATGAACCATATTGTGGTTTCATTAGATCATGGATTTATGATGGCAGAATTAGCGATCCTTATCACGAGTTCATAGTGGAGTATGTCAACGAGCTTCAAACTTCTGCATTTGTTGATACTGGAATTTCCATTGACTTGCCATTATCCACCATTAAGGTAATGCTTCCTGATCAATTCTAGAAGCTTCTTGTCCTAGGAGTATTTTCTCTTTATTATTATTTCTTCTATAGCATCTATAATCATGTAGACAAACTGATCTCAGGTGCGAGATGGAGTTGCTATACCCTGTTTTCTGGAAGAGTTCTTGATTCCACTTTTTAGAGCTGGTCAGCAGCTTCAAGTGATAATGAAGTTGGTCGAGTTGTGTCGTAATGATTATGCACACGATAATTCTCATGAAGGGGTTTTTCCCTGCTTGATTGGTTTGTCAAGTGAATATCCATGGTTTACATTCCCCCTAACATTTGACAAAGGAACTATTGAAACTATGGTACTTGCAAGAGCCAGTTATTACCAACAAATGCTGGAAAAGATTGACAACATTTTAACTAAATTCGAATATAGTTCTCGACAGGTAATTGCGGTGTGAGACAAGTTGTCTCTCTTATTCTTCCACATTTTTCAGTTACATACTTTAAAAGGTTGTTTCTATTAATATGGACATTTCTTAAAGCAAGCATATATTTGTGAAATCTGGAGCTGGCAATAATGACCTCCTTGTTAATTAATAGTTAGCTAGTTATTTAATTTTGATGTTCTACTGAAAGACTTATTAGCCGTTGACAGAGTGCTGAGCATCTAAATGTTTTTCTATGTTGTAGGGCTTTAGCAATAATTTTATTTATTTATTATTATTATTATTTTTTTTTTTTTGTGTGGTGGTCTTTAAACTTTGGTTGTTCTTGAAATGTTGCTGTTGAAAATTGTTTCTGGACTGCCCAGTGGATAAGTTTTCAGATCTTCAAAGATATGAGTTTTACCTATTCTGGAGGGAAACAATTATCATTTCTGGCGTTTTTCTTTTTGTGGGTAAATTTCTTTTGTTATCATATAGACATGATCAGTTTGTCTCATGAAATTTCTGTTTTATAGGCCAATTCTCAAGGCATTCCATTAATTGGAAATAACCTTAATGATCCAGTATCATCTGGTGCTGATGACAGCTTGTTTCCACCTCTAACAGATGGAAGAGACAAAGATTTGTGAGCTCTCTCTCCCCCATCCATCCTTCCTCCCTCTCTGTTCTCTCATCTTCCTGCTTTTCATGGGAAGATTGGTTTCTCCTTGATAAATTTCTCTTGCAACTTAATATTTTTCAGCTAAATAAGCACATCGTTCTTTCTTATTGTTTAGTCAGCTGTTTGATATTTTACGTGCCTCTCTTTTTTTGGTGTCTATATTGATGGTAAATAGTTGATCTAACTGATTCGCAGGCCTGATTCAGAGGTTTCAAGCATTGTGGATGAGTATTCTTATACTGAAGATCTGTTGGACTCATCTGAATGCTCATCTATTAAAAGCTCTGAAGAGCAAAACAACACCAGCCAGACGATTTATATGCATCGTGGAAATGTGGGCTTGGAACCAAGTTACTTATCTGCTTTGGATATCTCCCTGTGTTTGTCCACTAATAATTCAGTGCAACAGCTTTCCCAAAAGGGCATGTCATTATGTTTGGATGTTATTCCTTGTGAGAGAGATGAGAGATCAGATTATGCGAATCCTTGTAATGATGGAGCAAATCTAAGTGAGCTAGAATTTTTGCAGACTCCCGAAACCCTGGCTACCAGTAGAGAGCATGATATATGGATGTTAGATGGTCATGGTGCAGGCAGAGGTAACACTGAAAATGCATGGGGGCATACTAGTGATTGTGTAGAGAATCTGAGCAAGGAAAACCTTAGATTCTCAAGGACTGGCACGTTAGATTGCTTTGATTTAGGTAACAATGAAAATGCCTCCACAGTGAATGCTATCAATAAAGATCAGCATCCACATGGAACCTTTGGATTGTCAAATACATTCAGTTCTCAGGAGTGGAAGCTGAAATACAATTCTACTTTTTTTAGCATGAACCCAGCACTGAATAAAAGTTCTTTTCTAAACCCAAGGACCACACTTGGAGAGATATGCTCTACAAATTACAGGGAGTCATCTTACTTTGATTTTACATCTGTACAAGATCCATGCAAGGAATATGTGGATAAGTTGGCTAGCTGTCCTCAGCGTATATTTGGAGCCGAATTTTCAGCTATAACTGAAGCTAATGCTGCTGCTATTATTAACAATAGTCAAGATTGTATAGAAGGATACAATGAAAAGACCTTAGAGAATAATGCCAAATTCACTCATGTTAGTTCTCTTCTACATAAAAAGGCTGTTGACGAGGGTTCATCGCTACCTAATATATCTGGTGGCAGTACCTGGGAGACCCTGCTTTGTAAATCTGGTAATATTGCCAACAAATTCACCAGAGATCACAGGATGAGGTTGGTGGCAGCAATTGAGATGCCGCTGGATTTTGTCATAAGAAAATGTGTATTGGAAGAGATATTGCTTCAGTATCCTTATATTTAACAAGATTACAAACATGTGAATTATTGTTCACAGAGCAAAATTTTAACATGTACTGCAAAATTTGTCAAGTGCTTTCCAGTAAACTACAAATTAGGTGTTATACATGAAATTGTCCTGTCTATTTTGCCCCCTACGACCTATGCAAACAGCTACTCCATTTTGGCGGAAGGGACTTCTGCAAGTTGTAAGGCTTTGCTATGTACCTTGTTCTCTTATGCCTATGTTTTTTTATGTCTAGAGTTTAGAGATTACAAGTCAGCACCTTCATCTCCTGAGTTTTGGCTATAGTAGTTCGTCATATCACTAATCTGCTGATATTCAAAACGTAGTTTGTTCACTACTGTTGTTTAGATTATCCACTCTTCGTCTCTAAATGTTACCCAAGAGAGAACTTTTCTAATTCAGCTCCTATTTGTGAAGCTTTAGTCCCTGAACTTGATATGGACCAAAAGAAAGAATGACTTGCCTCTACATTTTTATTATGTACCAAAGAACCCGTCATCATTTATTTGCATTTCTTTCACTCTTCCAATTGGATTTGATAGAATATTTTATTGGGTTTTGTTGTCCCAGCACATCAGTTCTTTTGCATTTCCTGTAAAGTTAGCATTCTAATTTCAATTCTCATTTCCTTTCCTGGAAAACTAACGAATATATTTTTTTGAGATAAAAGTTATGACCATCTTAATGTCTTGCTTAATTTAAGAATTTGTTATCTCAAGTCTTTTCCTTGACATAATTAGGTATAAATATATAAGCAAGTTGACCATCAAATTTCTTATAGAAGGATTTGAGTTGCAAGAACATTTGCTGGCACTACGGCGGTACCATTTCATGGAAGTTGCAGACTGGGCTGATTTATTTATCATGTCTCTTTGGCATCATGTATGTTTTTTTTTTTTTTTTTACATATTCCATTCTACACATTGAGTTTTCCTTCTGAGTCCACTTCTCTCAATCCAGAAATGGCATGTAAAGGAGGCAGATAAGAGAATACCAGAGATTCAGGGGGTTCTTGAGTTGTCAGTCCAAAGGTCTTCATGTGAAGGGGACCCATATAAGGAAAGATTGTTCGCGTACCTGAAAGGAGATGGGATGGTACACCTATCAGCTTCTGCCACTGGTATAGCTAATATTATCTTGTCTATTATGTTGATCCGTTGGAAACTCTTAATTTCATTTTCTTCCTTTTCCCCCTTTATGTGACCATGTTATGTTCGACAGGAATCCACTCCTTTGATTTGCTGGGATTGGGTTATCGAGTGGATTGGCCAGTCAGTGTCATTTTGACACCTGCTGCATTAAGTATATATTCTGAGATCTTTAGCTTCCTAATACAAGTGAAGCTCGCTGTTTTTTCTCTAAGTGATGTCTGGTTCTCACTGAAGGTACATGTTTCAGAACTAACAGGTTTGCATATAACATCTGTTTTTGCTTGTCATGGATAGGCATCCCGTTGCCTTTTTCCATGTTTCAAAGTTTGCAGTTGTTTCTTCACCTATATGCATGTCTTTGCTTTAAGTTTGTGCAACTAGCTTCGTATGAGCTTTGTTCTCTTAGTGCTTAATTTATTCTCATCATGTTAGCATGAAGTTTTTGACAAAGGGAAATGTAGTTTAGGTTAAACTTACTGAGTCATTCAACAAAGAGCATGCACGTGTTCATTATGACAGGTTCGAGATGGATTTATCCATTGTCCATACTTGATTTTGTGCTCAATTATTTGTTAGAACTTTAACATGATGATCAAGTGAAGCTTCATTTGCAGCCATAATAGAAATAATGATGTCGAGTTCAGAACAATTAACAGCTGGCTGTTAATAGCATTAAAAATGTTAGTTTTTGCTTGGATATTCCTGGAGTTCTTATTAGAACTTCTTACAACAATATTTGAACTTTTCTGGGCAATAATTTTAAGATCTCCCTCACTATGTGTATCATGTTTAGTTTGGTTCACTATATCAATTCTAAGGGCTAACAATGGCTTTCTATTCTCTGTTTAGAAAGAAAAAAAAAAAATGAGGAAAATTTTGTAGCACCTTTTCTAATACATACAAAAAAAGAGGAAAATTTTGTAGCACCTTTTCTAATACATACATTAACCAGCTATTTATCCTGCACTGGACAAAAACTCCGTTTTTTCCTCTTTTTGGATGGTAAATATTTCTCAGAACATGGAGTGTGAATCAAACCCATGTTTGAATAGCACCTTTTCTAATACATACATTAACCAGCTATTTATCCTGCACTGTTAACTCTTCCTTGGCTTTCTCTTGCATTCATTAATCAAAATTAAATGCATGGATTGCTCATTTTGGACTCGTTAAACTCCACCATCCTTAGAGGCATAGGGCTCGTTTGGCATGACTTTTGAGAAATCCAAAGGTTTAGTCAATTTTATGAAAGTGTTTCGTCTAAATAGAAGAGCTTTTAGAGGAAGCTGGCCTAAAGTGACTTCTTCTAGAAGTACTTTTGGAATAGGAAGTTTTTGAAGTTAGTTTCCAAACAAAATTAAGATAGCTAACTCAAGACTCTTCTACAGGAAGCAAAAGCAAAAACAAAGCAAAAATCCTTCCAAAAGGGCCCTTAGTCACAATCAAGTTCATTGTGTTGATGTAAACTAACCTAGAGTTTTAAGTTTTCTAATTTCATAATATAGATGTGATCTACATTATTGAACTTGATTTCGTGTGGTTGCTTGAGCAGAGTTTTGGTGGGAAACAACACGAACAAGAAGTGCTTCACATTTCAATCTTAAACGAAACAAGGTGCATTCAATCATCTGATTTTTTTATTTCTTTATTGTCATTATTATTATTATTATTATTTTGGTGGTTCTCTTGAGATGATCTAACAAGCACCTGAATTATTTAAACTGTTGGAATCGCATTTATAGAATTATTTGACTGTTGGAATCACCTTGTATAAATGTGCTTTTATGCCCCCTCCATTGTATTTATTCACTTTCATTTATATCATGGTGGAGTAATCCTATCCCCCTTTGTCCTGTCTTGTTGGGGCCTAAAAAAACACACGGCGATGCGATGGTGCTATATTAAGGAAAAATAAAAAATAAAAAAACTGGTGCCCAGAAAAGAATTATCAACTTGTTTGAAAATAAGGTGATTTTATTTAATGTTATATTCTTTTCAAAGCTTGATTTAGAAAGTATATAAGTTTTTTCTATACATTCTGTCTTTCCATGTGAACTTTTGCATGGGTTGAGAGGACAATTTCTTAAGCTGTAAGCTTAACATTTCTATTTCTGATCACGTGCCTCATTTCCGTGCAGGCACAAACTTAACCATTTTGTGTCTACGTTACAGCAATATGTACAATCACAATTATCCCAAGTATCGTGGTGCAGATTTCTGCACTCTCTTAAGCACAAGGTTTGTATTCAGTTATTGATTGTATACTTTGGTAGCTTCATTTCTTGTCTCTATTGAAAGTTCAAGCATCTATTAACTTGGTTGTCTATCTACACCCCCTACTCAGCAAATCAAGTTTCATTGAAAACTTTGTATTGCTTTCTCCTTAATGTACATAATCAGGCAGAATTCAATCTTAGCTCTCTATAAGATTGTTTTGTCTTTAAACCCTTCTGTTTGTATTTCAGATGAGTAATTAACTTTAAACTGAGAAGTGAGATAGGGAAAGAAGGGATAAAAGAGACGATGCTTTCATTTTAATATGCACTTAATTAACTGTAGTAGTGATGGAAATCATGTTAAGTTAATGAAAATCACGTTAAGTTAGTCTCATTTGTATGCCTTATTTATTTGGGCATTAGGAAGCTCGAGTTGCAAAAGAAGTCTGGATTAGCTTCCTCATAGTTGATATAGTGATTCATTGATATTATCCCTATTATCTGCAGACAATTTGGATAAATATAACTGAAACCTAAGAAGCATTAACCATTCGAAAAATATATTTGCAATTGAACCTTGATTCTTCCTATATCAGCCATTTGACGCAAAAAGGAGGAATTCCTTGGCTTCGTCTACTTGTGATATCTTTTTACTCAAACGTTACTTTCGATGAATCATCTAATCACTTCTTTATAATTGCTGTTCCATTTCATTTTCTAGGTCAATGATATGATGGATCTTGAGTCAGTGCATATGGTGTATTTGACTGAATCTTTGCACATGTAAGTCCATCTCTGTTTCCCCACTCAAGACACACTTACACATGATATTGTGGGTAAAAGTACAGTTTAAAACACCTTGAAAAGAAGAAAGAGTTGAGGGTTGCTGCTTTTATTCATTTCTCATCAATAACATGCAATGAATGTAATAAAATCTGATACATCTTCTTGATATATGTCTTTCTGGCTATCTGACTAATTTAAAGGTCATGCCAATGTACAATATAAAATACTTGAGTTGTAAGAAATCATTTTATTTCGTGACTAATATAGGGATTTAAGAGTAAATTGTCTGAAGTGAACTTTTAACTATTTTTCTCTATGTCAGATTACAATCCTAAATTCATTTTTTTTTTTTTTTTTGCAATGGCACCTACATTCTTTCTATATCACATATTATAAGCAATTCACATCAGCACACAGTAATCCATGCACATTTAAATCTTTAGTAGCAAGGTCCGCATAGAGTTTTAGTAACACTTGTCTCAGTTTGTCATTCTCAGAAATCTTTTCTACCTACAGTCATGTATAAATGGTAAATTTTTCAGATGTTTCTTGTCCAATGAAACACGGTCAGTAGCTAGCATTATGCAAAACATCTTGCAATCTGCTATGGACTTTCGGTCTTCCTTAACTGGAAGCATTTTGGAGGCTAGATCCAATGATGAAAAACCGGTTGACAGGTTTTCTCAGATTGACATTTCACAGGTAGTTCTTCGAAATTTTAATTAGACGCTAACTTTATGCTGTGGACTGAAGGCTTTCATCGTTTCATTTTTACCATTTCTTGATGCTAGAATTGTCTAGATTCTTGGATGTGTAAGATAATTTCGGGTGAACATACTCTTCTTTATTATATGTATTCTTATGATACTGAACTAAGTTTCAAAAGTCAAAACTATCTACGAGCGGACAATTTTTGTTCTAAATGAAACTGGTAGTGTTACCTAGTTCTCAAGTTTGTGTTGATCTTTGAACCAAAAATCAATTCGAATTTCACTCTTTTATAGAAATCTAAGAAGCACCGACACGGACACGAGTGTCCGACACGATACGTGTCCGACACGTCGACACGCTATTTTTCCAAAATGTTCCGACACGATACGTCTTCGACACGTTGATTAAAATATTAATTTTAATTTATTTTAATAATTAAAAATAATAATAATTTTTTTTTATACTTACTGCATCATGTATATAAATAATTAAATAATAAATATAAATAAAATATGATATTAAATTCATATATGAAGGGTAAAATAGTAAAAAATTAATTAACATAAAATCTTGAATGTTGTTTAAAGTTGAAAAAAAGTAATGCATACTGCAAAAAAATGTGTACAATGCATTAATATGACTAATATACTACAAAGTGCATTTAATATGTTGGGTCCACTGAACCAGCAGCCTGCTTTGAAAATTATAGCCTGCTTTGAAAATTACCCAACACAGACAGGTACTGTCTTCTCTCTCGTCACTTCTCTCTTTCTCTTCTTCTTCTTCTTCTTCCTTTCTTCTTTCTTCCTTGCCGTTACCGGAGCAGCAGTGCAGCCAACACAGGTACCATTTTCTTCCTTCTTTCTTCACTTCTTCACCGTTTCCCTCCAGTTCGACACGCCGCAAGGAACCCGACACGTGTCGGCGACGTGTCTCCGACGTACCCGTGTCCGATACGTGTCGGACACCGACACGCCGATGCCGGAAGCGTGTCGGTGCTTCACAGATAGAAATGCTTAAGAATTATATTTTCCTAGTTCATTTCTTTGTATCCTGAGGTAAGCATTATGGTGTGTGAAAATAGGTTCAAATAGACATATTTTAGTTTTTTTATAGGATGTTAGTTGATGACACTCTGCTAATATGTGGATGGCATCTTAATGCATCAGAAATTTAGACATTAAGTACAAAGTAGTTAATTCAAAGAAGTTGTGTAGTAAAGCATCTATTTCATAATGAGAGGCCTACACGGATATTGCAGTTTATGGTGCGTCTGTAATTGATATAGGACACTGTTACACTGTCTCTCTTGCGATACCCCCACTTGTGTAAAGATGTAAATGGATATATGGGGTGAAAATGATACTAGTAAATGATGGATATTTAATAGAGTAAGTATAAATGATACATGCCCTACTACTCCCTAAGCCTAGCTTTGGTATTGAAATTCAAGTCTTTACTGCATCTTCAATAAGCTCTTTAAACATAAGATACTTTCAATTTTAAAGAGCAACCTTTAAAATTATACTCCAAGAGACTTTTTAAATTAATATTTCAAAATAAAGAGTAAATTTGACTCTTCTAATTCAGAGAGTGAAACCCACTCTCTATAATTAAATGCATTTAAAGTATTTCAATTTTCAATAAAGAAAATAATATGATAATTTAGAGGGAAGATAGTGGAAATAATAGATAGGAAAAACAATAAATAGTTTTTGGGAGTGGTAAACTTAAGTATTAAATATAAATTGCTTATTAGAGTTCTTAAAAAGTTTTAGGCCATGTTTGAGCCACATTTTTTTAAAGAAAATACATTTTTAAACAGTTATTCGACATTATATCAACCACACATTTTTCAATAAAATAATATTATACGCAAATTCAAAAATTTTCTTTATTTTTTAACCACACATTTTCCATCAATACAGTATTCAAAAATGCATTCTAAGGAAAATAATGTGGCTCAAACAAGGGCTTAATATCTAATTTATGGATTCTCTTTAAATTGCAAAATATATTCGAGATGTGCTAAGAGCATATATTAGTCTTTGACATAGGAGAAGCTCTAAGGGCCCGTTTAGCATGACTTTTGAAAAGTCAAAAGTAGCATTGAGATCCAAAAGTTGCTTTTAAACTTGTTAGGTTAATTTTATGAAAGCGCTTCTTCTAGCTAGAAGAGTTTTTAGCTTTTAAAGGAAGTTGATCCAATGTAACTTTTTCTAAAAGTACTTCCAAAATAGGAAAAAACTCTTTCAAAGTTTGTTTCCAAACTAAAATGAAGGCAGCTTCCTCCAAAAACTCTTCTACAGAAAGCAAAAAACAAAAAAATTCCAAACGGACCCTTAATGTATGTTATCACATCTTGTTAAGGTAGTGCAAAATGTGAATTAATAATGTACCAATAAAGCATCTATCTACTGTCTTTGCAGGTGCTCTTGATAAGAAGAACTTTTGCCAAGAATCTTAAAGAGTTGTACTTAACTTATCTCAGATCACCTAAGCATGGGGAATTTGGTATTTCACGTTTTTGGGATTATCTCAATTATAATGAGTATTATGCAGAGGTAGTTGGTAAACAAATGGGCCACCATATTTTTCCTTCATGAAGCTCCAGGACTACTGCTAACAGAGATAACGCCATTGTAATTAGGCACATTGTGCAATATTTCAAGTCTTTTGCAGAGATTCCCAGAATTCTTCACATTACTCTTATTACCATTTAGAAACCCCGGGCCTTGGTGATATCGACGTTTCTGTTATATTTGCAGTTATATACATGATATATGTATAGCTATGTAATGGAAATGTTCGTGACGGCTTAAAGTCATTACCTTTTTTGAATTTCATCGAGAGTTTATTTTGTCAGGCACTTTAATGTAGCCAAATGAAAAATGTCTAGGGAGTCGGTGTTGCATTTTTGTTGTAATTGTAGGCAATATTTGTGGGAGATTTTTCCCAAAGTAGTTGCACTATATAAGATTAACCTTTTTCTTCCCATATATATTTGTGTGCGCATTTGATATATTAGGCCTGATCTCCTACTTCCAATGGACAGGATGCTTTCTTGTTGCGTCTATAGTGGAAAGTTTTTATCCGGTCCAATGAGGAGCAGGAGATCAATTCTATTCGACCTATTTATACCGTTTGGTATTCCATTTTAATGTGCAAGTTGCATAAAGTATTTTGATACTTCTTAAGAAGCCATTTTGTTGGTTGAACTCGTTAAGTTGAATGTTATTTTTCATTGTGTAATTGCTTAGAGACAAAAGCCAATGTACGAGGAGGCACCAATAAAGTTGACATGACGCGCCTATTTATTGTTTTGATGTCAAGAGTTTTCTTTAGAATCAGCCAAATTATGTCGAATGTCTTGTTAGCTCGGTTTGCTCCACGAGCTCGCCTCTAGGTGAGGCCGAACCATCAATACATTGTTTTTTCATTGAAATTATGTTTTTTTATTCATATGACACGTGAGCCGTTGGCGAGGTAACTACTTCTCAACAATTTTGTTCGAAAGGATTGAACCCTAAATCATATAGAATTGATCTCCTGGTGGAGGGTGGGCCTCACAGTGGCTAGGTTAGTCCGTCTACAATTAGAATCAATTTAGGATTTAAATCGATCCACCTAAAAATGTAATTCGGGTTAGGTTGGGATCTAGAACTTGTCAATATTGTAGGATGAGCGGTCCAACCTGAATGAAGGGATAAATAAGTATTTGTACCAAAAAATCGATTCTCTGTTCAAAAAGAAAAATAATATCAGAATTTAAAAAGAAAGTTGAAAGTAAATGAGAGCTAAACATCTCTTTTAGTTTTAATTTAATAATTTCTTTCATACGACCTTTATAGATGTGTCGGTCTATATAATCGAACCTAACAGTCATTCACTAAACTGGCCCAAATCTAGCAGAGTGGGTTCGATCCAATTTTTAAGTGGATGGCCCATTCTGAACCTCCGAAACCTTGGCCCATTTTGACACCATTGCTGTAAATTCTTCCTTATTATCCTTTCTAATATATTAATAATTATCCTCCAACGGTCATTTCATCTGTTCAACGTTCTTCGATGACTATCATTGACATTTAGTCAATCGTTGGTGTGCCAATGCTTTTTGACCTTTTCCCTTGGACGGATATGAAGACATGTTTGGTATAAAATAAAGGAAAATTGCAGTAGCAGTCCCTAATTTTTTTATTTTTTACAGACTTTATCATAACCTTCATTTTGTGTTAGCAGAGGTTCCTAACCTTTCATAAATATGCACATGAAATCTATCTGAATAGAAACCGTCTAAAACACCTTCAGTTGGCAGGGAAAATTAAGAAATCAATATTCAAAAAAATGTCCAAAAATATTGTTCAAAAAATATCAATATCCAATAAAATCGTCGTTGTAACAGATAACTCAAGGGATTTACCGGGTCAACTGACGGTGTTTTGGACTGCTTTCATTCATATGGACCTCGGGTGCATATTTATAAAAGGTTAGGGACTTTCGTTGACACAAAATGAAAGTTACAGTAATGTCTGCAAAAAATGAAAAGATTAAGGACTGTTACTGCAATTTTTCCAAAAATTAAAAGATAAAAACTCTTTTGACATTTCAAAAACTATCCGTTACACTGAGAGGCCCACTCTCGACCAGTCGCTTGACTAGCGCCAGCCACTGTAAGAAAAAGCTCATGGAGGCGCTTAAAAGTCACTGTATACACACTGGTATGTGAGAGACTGACGAAAATACCCATCAACTTTCTCTATACCTATAAATACACGCATTATATATATTATATATATCGTCATCATCATTCATCCATCCCCCTAACGCGTAACCCAACAGTCACGCAAACAGAGTGAAGCTCTATCTTCAAATACCAACAAATCTCTCTATTAAGCTTCTTCCTGAAACTGGTATTTTACCTGCATATTTAACATGCATAGATGTGTTGGTTACTTAGTGCTAAGGTGTTTTTTTTTTTTCTTTTTATGTGTTTCTTGAATTTGTTGTGTTAATAGTTACAGAATATCCGAGCAAAAGGCTATGAGGGTGGCTAAAATGGAGAGATTTTCGATGTCCATTATGTGTCTTGCGGTGTTGTGCTTGTGGACTGCTTTTGCGGAGGCAGAGTATATTAAATATAAGGATCCCAAACAGTCATTGAATGTTAGAATTAGGGATTTGCTGGGGAGAATGACTCTTGAAGAAAAGATTGGACAGATGTGTCAGATTGAGAGAAAAGATGCCTCGCCTGATGTTATGAAGAAATATTTTATTGGTACATAACTTTCACCAAAACTTTATATTTTTCTCGAATTTTTCTTGAATTTTGAATATTGTTTGTAAAGAAAAATTTGATTCTTGGCAGGGAGTGTATTGAGTGGAGGGGGGAGTGTACCAGCACCTAAGGCCACTGCTGAGACTTGGGTTAATATGGTTAATGAACTTCAAAAGGGTTCTCTTTCAACGCGTCTCGGAATTCCTATGATTTATGGGATTGATGCAGTTCATGGTCACAACAATGTCTACAAGGCAACTATTTTCCCACACAATGTTGGACTTGGGGTCACCAGGCAAGTTTTAACACTTACCTAAATAAGAATATTGCAAAATATGTTTTAGGTGTAATGTTTTTAGCCGTGTAAAATAGCTTATAGTTATAATTGGGTTTGTGAAAACTCAAAGCTTGTTTATTGAAATTAAGGTTTCTTGTTTGAGCATTGAGTGTGTTTCGGAGTTTCTGTTTGTTGTGTTTGTGTGTGCGTTTTAAGTATCTTTCAGACAAAATGGTTGTTGAAAGTGATTATGTTCAGAAGGTCTATTATTCCTTCAAGCTGAATAGGTGAATCATATTCTTAGAAGTATGGTGGGGAGAATTGATGAGTTAAAAGGTAGCTGAAAGTGAAAATATTATTGAAATGGAAATTTTGCGATCTTAAGAATTTGTATTTATTTCTTGTTAGTGCTTTATAAAATTCTGCTTGGAAAAGTTATGTTCTATCCAAATCCCCCAGACACTTAATGGAATCTGAAACTGTGTCTGTCTCATTTTCTCTGAAGATTATGCTAATCCTCGTGTTTAATTTATGGGATTAATACTGAGTATAGAAACTTCTGAGTCCTCTCCTTTTTTTCATCGAGTTTTGGCCATTTGTAATTATAATTTCTAGACTTCTATGTCTGTTCTCTTATTAACATGTCTAATAATTTGATTTTGGATCAGAGATCCAGCACTTTTGAAGAGGATTGGAGCTGCCACTGCACTTGAAGTTAGAGCCACAGGAATCCAATATGCTTTTTCACCCTGCATTGCAGTAAGTAAATTTTTTAACATGCTTTTAGTCCTCTCTCCCATTTGGCGATTTGTATTATACTATATTATACCATTCCTGATCATTCAAATACTTACAGGTATGCAGGGATCCAAGATGGGGTCGCTGTTATGAAAGCTATAGCGAAGATCATACAATTGTTCGAGCAATGACTGAAATTATAACTGGTTTACAGGGAGATCTACCCGCAAGTTCTCAAAAGGGTTTTAATTTTGGATCAGAGATCCAGCACTTTTGAAGAGGATTGGAGCTGCCACTGCACTTGAAGTTAGAGCCACAGGAATCCAATATGCTTTTTCACCCTGCATTGCAGTAAGTAAATTTTTTAACATGCTTTTAGTCCTCTCTCCCATTTGGCGATTTGTATTATACTATATTATACCATTCCTGATCATTCAAATACTTACAGGTATGCAGAGCGAAGATCATACAATTGTTCGAGCAATGACTGAAATTATAACTGGTTTACAGGGAGATCTACCCGCAAGTTCTCAAAAGGGTGTTCCTTTTGTTGCTGGAAAGTAAGAATCTTCTTTGCACTTTGCTCTTTAGATCAAAGTTACTTTATGTGGACATTTTTCGAATAACTTACCAATTGTCATACTTTTCTTATCCGAAAGTGGTAACCGCCGAATCGACATACAACTTTTATGAGGGAAGTCACATGGGTGTCCTGATGTTGATTGGCGATATATTTCATATTTTTAAACCGTATATACGTATGTTATTAGATATCATCAATCCTAGCCTTTTAGGTCCATTGAATATGGTATTCGACTTGGCATATTTTAGTCATGATAAAATTAGGATTACAACTTTACCAAACTTTAGCTTTGAGAAAAAAGGATACCAACTTTTTAATTGTTGATAACATTCATTCCCCTCAGATCAAAATATTCTCGCCAAATAAATTTCCTTTTTGTATTGTTGATATTTAGAGTATGTTTGGCAAGTGTTTATATGCATGTTCATACAGTCTAAAAGTCAAACCAATTTTTGTCCATATATTTCGTAGAACCCACTTATTCACCACTCATTTCTATATGATCATGAACACTAGTCAAAATATGCGTCATTGCTCTTTTCACTTGCTACTTCAATACCTGGGGTTTCAAATTTTAGGGTATTCCTTGATGATGAACATTAAGTGACCTTTTCATTTAGGATGTAGTTTGTTTGTACTTTTAAATGGCCTTTTGTAATTATGAGCCCATTTAACTAATATATTGGTATATGTGGTCCAGGACAAAAGTTGCAGCATGTGCCAAGCACTTTGTAGGAGATGGTGGCACAGTCAAGGGAATTGATGAGAGCAACACTGTGATTGACTACAATGGCTTGCTTAACATCCACATGCCAGCATACCTTGATTCAATTCGAAAGGGTGTAGCCACAGTAATGGTATCTTACTCGAGCTGGAATGGCGAGAAGATGCATGCTAACCATGATCTTATCACTGGCTTCCTTAAGAACACTCTGAAGTTCAGGGTAACCCTTCAATAAATTTAATACTGGTCGTTTCAAGTTGGTTAAAATGACAGAATTTTTTTCTAAAGTTTGGTTGTATATGCTGAACGGCATTTCAGGGATTTGTCATATCAGATTGGCAGGGTATTGACCGGATTACGGATCCACCACATGCTAACTATTCTTACTCAGTTCAAGCTGGTGT